ATGACTAACTCCCATATTATCACTAATTGTCTGGGTCAGATCGTCTGGAGTATTAGGGGAGCAAAAGAGCTTTGACTTTTCCAGATTGACCTTCTGACCAGACATCTCACAAAATTCCTAGAGAATATTTTTAAGTACCACTGCTGGATCCATACTAGCTTCAGCAAAGAGTACAAGATCGTCTGCAAAAAAAAAGATGAGAGATTTTCGGTCCTGATCTCGAGGCCTTGACCGGCCTCCATTTACCTTTCTTAACTGTCTCGGTAATCAAATGCCCCAATCTTTCCATAGAGATGGCCTGAATGCAATTCATAATTAAAGTGATGATGCCGTGGGAAAACCTACCATTTCTAAAGTCTACCTCAGAAACCCCAGCTGATTCACCAACAATTTAGTATACAAATCCCTTGTTTTAAGGTTTTTTTTCTTATACAAGATGAACAAGAGAGAGTCTGTTCTTGATTCTCTCCCCCTCTCTATTATAAATGAGGGTATTTTGGATATTCAACCTACAGCCGGTAACTCAGCCGGTTAAGAAGTCAATTTTCACTTTAGTTATGAAGTTTAGGGTATTTATGTGTAGGTTTCTAAATGATAGGGGGGTTAGGTGTCTTTTCGCGAAACCATAAGGGGGTTTCGTGTATTTTACCCATGGATAAAGAAGATGATTTCATTCCAAACGTGCCCTTATTCATCCTACTTTTTTTTTTGAAAAAATTAAAAGTATATTAAGAAAAGGTTGAAATTAATAGACATATTGTTTGAATGTGCAATTTTAGTGGGATACAATATAACAGTAAGTGTTTTAAGGTATAAATAATTTATTTTTAAGAGTGTATTTGAGGTGCTTTCAAACCAAAAAATTTTATTAACTGCAAAGTGTTTACCATCAATTTGATGAGTTTTTTAAATTATTAGAATTTCTGAAAAATAGAATAAATTTATATTATATTTAAAAACTCATTTTCTATGTTTTCGAAGACCAAAAGGAGTTATTATTTTACTGAAAAATGTTTGTGAATTTCTAAATTTAATATATATTGTGTCAACAAATGATATGAAAACTATTAAAATATTTTTCAATCTTGTTAACATCCTATAATTCTTGGCTACAAAATTATAACGGCAAAGTTTTAAAAGTTTAAGATATTAACTAATTTATTATGAAAATAAAAAAGATGTACAAGAAAAGGGTAACATTGGAATGAACACGAATTCTCTATTCAAATATAAGTGTTTTAATAATATATTTTAAAATGAGTTTACACTGCTATAAAAAAAAATTGAAAATAAAGGAGGGAAATGATATCTTTTAAAGTTCAAGAGGTTAAGTGAATTGTCACGGAACTCAAGGAAAGCCGCAGAAATTATCCCAAATTTCTTTATCCCAAGTGTCCTTATCCACAATAACCCTTCGTAGAATTTCTTCCTAGAAAGGACGGAAGAGAAATCAAGCAGCCCTAGTTGATGCATATCAGTACTGAACTACTGATGAGTAGTGACTCACAACAGGATAAGCACTAAGGATATGATATGAGAGATCTCGTGGACCAACCAATTTGCGGATTTTGATACTCTGTGGACCATGTAATATGCTTGTGGTGTATATTTTGTATATTATTTGAAATATTATTTAGAATAATTATTGTAGTATTTTTTGTGATGTGGTGTATGTGAGATAAAAAGGTGATTGGAAATATAAAAAAATATGTTGGGAAATGTGTTTGTGATGTAAGCGAAATATTATTTGAAATAATTGAGATATCCAAACACTCCCATTATTATTTTATGTATCCATGGGCCATGTGTTATTAATTTATTACACTGGATAGTAGATACCGAATAGTCAAATACCACCTGTCATTTAGCTGAAGCTGATGGCTTCTTTTTTTTTTTTTTCAATTATGCCCTTTTCGCATAAAATTGCCCTTTTCGCATAAAATTACCCTTTTCAACTTTCTTGGGTTTTCTCTAAATTGACTGAGAAGCATATGGTGGGGTCCAGAGCATTAATAGTTGAGTTGAACAGTTGAAGTCAAATCCGTGATAATTTGTGGTTCACGTTTCTCTGATTTTCTTTACGTCATTCATGACGTAAACATTTTTGTATTTATAGGTTAGAACAGCCATTGGATGACAGACACTGTGGCTTTCACACTCATAGACACCTATCAAAACAGTTTCATTAATTTAACAAATTTAGTTTCTTAATTATACTTAATTATTCAAAGACCCAAAATATTTTTTTAAATTGGTTTTTCTTTGGTTTTCTTATTTTGCATTAAGAGATAATTTTAGTAACCTCCTCTCATATTTATATTAATATCATTTGATATCCCTAAAATTTAAGAAATTTCACCTACCTCCCTTATTTTCAACATTTTTTAACTTTATCAATCCATTTCAAAAGATATGATTTAAAAACTTAGTTTGAGAGAGATAAAACATTTCTTTTCAAAACTACCCGTTTCTTGTGCACCATTACTTTTCATAATAAATCAGATTAAATCCTTAAGAATTACAATATATTAATGAAATTGAAAGACCTTTTGTAATTTTCTATGTTATCGGTCCGGACAAGAAATGCAAAAGAAAAATTGTTATTATTAGAAAAAAAATAACATTTTGCATCTTGAAAATACCTCAAATGAGTTTCTAAAAATATTGTTAATAATTTATCTTTCTCTTATATTCAAGCCATCGATTTGGACAAAAAGTTAGAATACCAAACAAAATTCTATAAGTTTTATAAAATTCTAAATTTATCTAAAAATACTTTTTAATAAAGAAAGTTACTTTTACATTTTTTGGAAACACCTCAAATGAGTAAAAAACATTATGTCTGTTTTTTATACTCAAGTCATCTGTCTATACAAAAAATTTAGAAAGTTCATTTTTTTAAAATTCATAAAACTCCTCAAATTAATGAAAACACTTCATAGTGAACGAAAAATATTTTAGTTTGAACGCACGCTTAAATAGTAATCTTTTGTGCCTTAAAAACACCTACTTGTATAATTTTTTCTATTAGAATTAAAGCATTTCCTCTCTCCAAATATGAGTTTCTTAATAATATTTTTTGAATTGGGTTGATAGCATTACAAAAAGCTGAAAATGAGAAAGGTAAGTGAAACATTTAACGTTTGTTGAAAAAAAAAAAAGAAAGGTAAGTGCAATTTTTTCAAAATTTAGGGGTATCAAGTAATATTGCAACAGACCTTAAGGGAGGTTTCTGAAACTATTCTTGCATTAATGTAGAAATTGTTGGTTGGCTTCGCAAAGGTAGAAAAGCTGCAACCGCTTGGCACGTCAGGTTGATGATAGAGCACTTTTCTTTTGTTGATTTTGATTTTTGAAGTTTAAGCTGGTACAGTTTTCATATGTTTATACGTCTATGGAATTGCAAAAATGAGGATAATTCTTAATCAATTAAGGAAAATTTTTTTCTCTCCATAAAAAAATTTAGCGTCTTAATCGACTCTGTAGTCCATTAGAATACAAAATCTTTAAACGGATTATTTCCTCTTTTCAGAAACTTGATATGCAGATATAGATAATAATAATCTTGCATGTGCCTCACTTTCTCATAGATTTCCGTTTGTAAACATCCCAGAATTCCGATGCATTATGAAATATCATCAAATAGGTTGCTAGTAAAGAAGAGAGTGACTTTTCTTGGAGGAAGAAGACGGTGACTTAAAAGTCGTTGCATCAGTTTTTCTTTTGAGTAATAACCCTCATTATCATTTGTTGGCAATCATTTTAGTTCAAACCCCCTTGGTCAAAGTACTCAAAGGAACTACTGCCTTAATCTGTCCATATGAAAAGAAAAGGGCTTCCACCGATGATTTTCACTGGGACTGTAAATCAACAAGATGATTGACGTGTTAGATAACATACCATCTGATTAAACAATAGTCAGCAATAGTTAAGTATTTAATTAAACAATAGTCAGCTTACCACAGCATGCCCAAGTCACCAATAGCAACATACCTTTTGATTCTACACCAATAAATTAATCTTTTCCTTGTATTCTCCCAGAGATTAAGGAAAAAAGTAAGATTATAGAAACAAAGAAAGTTCAGTCATGCCTCTAGCTTGTGTAAATCGAGGGAAAGAAAAACATTATATATAAGAGGGAAGTCAGACAAGTCGTTTATTGAAAATTTTTTAATAATATTTTTATAATATAATCTATCTTATTCTATATGAGAGTGAAGTCTAAAAAAATTATATAAAAAATTAACAGACATACAAAGATGACTATATCAAAGGAATGTTTTAACATCTCCTTTTATTTTCTTTTGTTTTTCTCGGCAAATGAAATTGAATTCTCGACTTACAGACTTATCGTCTAGAGAGAAATTTAGAATATGTTTGGATTATAATTTTTTAAATAAAAATTATTATATTTTTTGTGAACACATTTTTTCAATCATTTTTTTACTTCACAAATATCAAAATACTACAATAATATTTCTACAAAAAATTCAAAAAATACAATCCAAACAAAATCTTAATCTTTTTTTGATGGTGGTATAACAATAATTATGAATATCTGTAAACCCGAACAGAAACTATTACACAGGTGCCTATTATCTTATATATATATATATATATATATATATTATATTTTGACTAGAAGAAATTCTCAAAAAATTTTCACATCTTCATTTTATTTTAAATTAAATTACAAATAAAAAATTTCCATTTCAATTGAGCACAACCTGTCTTGTGTTGCCTCCCCCAGAAAAAAGAACAGAGCCAAAGCTTATTGAAAATTTATCCAAAAAAATATATATTTATTGAAAATTTTTTAAGAGTACTTTTTGTGATCACTTTTTGTTTTATATAAATCAATGTTTAAAGATGGCAAAATATTATTATTTTTCTAAAATTACTTCTTAAAACCGCAATCCGAATTTACACCTCATAATCCTTTCTCCCAATTTAACCCAACAAGGCACAATTAGATGCCAATTTTCATTCTCATCGCCAAATACCACCAAAATGCTGATTAGATTTGACCAACAAAAAAGGGGATTAAAAATATGTACAATACATTAACCATAATCCACATAGTCAACAAAAGATAAAGTAGCCTCAGCTACCAAAAGCCGAAAAAAAAAAGGCCAAAAAAAAAACAAAAAGGAGCAGAGAAGTAAAAGTGATTAAGCTAAAAAGTAAAATCCACCCAAAATTTGATTTTACTTCACAATTCAGTAGGTCGGAACGACGCCGTAAGACGCATCAGCAACTATTAACGATTCAATTTCAGCTTCCGCCCGCTTCGCAAACCTTCCTTTAATTCTGGGTCGGGTCTCCGCATAGGCCTTTCTCGAAGCATACCGAATCGTCTTCTCGAATTTTCTGTTCTTCCTTTTCTCCCTGTACCTTAAAACCCTCGCTTCTCTATCCACGCCGGAGACCGGATTCGTAACGGCATCGCTCCTTGATAAATTGTTGGATACATCCGCCATCGCATTGTGGTCCGGTACGACCCCAACCTCCATAGAAGACGATGAAACCTGCCAAAAATAAATAAACTGAATATATTAATTTTTTGGTCAAAACTGAATATATTAACTGATTGGCCTAAAATAAAAAAATATATCACATACACTTTGGCTGATGGATTGAGAGCTGAAGTTGTACACAAAACTTTTAGATCCAGCAAAATCCATTTCATAGGTGGGGAATCCATCCACAACTGGACCGGGTAAATGGGTCGGATCATTCTTGTTCTGCACTGGAACAACTCCATCGGAGTTATGCTGCTGGTGAACATGATTGTGATGATGGTTTTGATACTGCACGACATGAGGCTTTTGATCACTGGATATCAAATCCATATCCAAATAAGGATCCATATCAGTAAACAAATAGTCCGCAGTCTTGTACTCCGGACTATCCGGTTCTAAATCCTTATTACAGTTCGGGTTAGGTAGCAGCCACGAAGCGGCTTCCGCTTCCTCGGCCTCGCTGCCGAGGTCGAGCAAACATTTCTCGTCGCTAGCTCCTGTACACCTGGCAGCCGAGGCCGAGTCGAAGAAGGGGGTGATCGGAATCCGCTCGTGGCGGCGGGCAAGCGGGTTTGCAGAGTGGATGTCGCGGTCACACGCGTTGCATAGGGCTGCAGCATCCGCCTTGCAAGTCACACTTGCAGGGGCTTGCTCGCAAACTTCGCAAACCCACACGCGCCCGTGGCGGGAGGCTAGCTTATTCGCGGCGTGGATTTTGGAGTCACAGGCGAGGCATAAAAACGCCGAGTCCGCCCGGCAGAACACGCTGGCCGACGTCGCTTTGCACGAGTCACACGGCTTGGCCGTTAAACTCCAACCTTCTGCACCCATTTTTTCGCCACTCCCTCTATCTAAAAATTTTCTCTCACTAGAAAATGAGAGGAGACGTGCTGTGTAGTGGTGACTGTTTTTAATTTTTCTTTTATTGCTTTTTCGGACAATGAAGCGGGCAATCACGATGTCCTAGTGGGCAGGGCAATCCGGGTGATAGCCAATGGAGATTCAACACGTGTAACAAGCTTAGCCAAAATGCAAGAGCGTTTTAATTATGTTGGAAAATGGAGGATTGTCGTTTAGTGTGAGGTGGGGATGTCGTTTTTATGGAGATAGGGTCCACAAGATAAGAGACGTGTTGGTACAGAAGGGTCTGTTTGGATTTTTGTCAAATCTGTATCAAAATACTAAGCCAGAAAAGTTGATTGTGCTATAGTGGGTCCCAAGGGATTGCCGGTGTTTGGAAAACGGAATGGCGTGATGTTTCTAGAGCGGTATGGCTTTTGCCACAGTTGTTGGGGCATTTCTACAAGCGCATTGTACCACTAAAACCTTTTTTTGTTTTTGTCTACTTCTATATTTATTTTTTGGGAGAAAATATAAACAAATACGTGGAATTTAATTTGCTAAATTTGCGCCGTATTAAAGTTGGTAAGAAAGATTGTGTAATTTTGAAACATTCCATGTTATGCGGTGTAATAACGCTAAAAAGTTGGATGCATTATGTGAAAACCGAATAGAGTATGATTTTTTTGTTTTAATAAAAAGCAAATTTCATTAGTGGATTATTGAAAATTGTCCAGCACAATTTGATTTGCGTCACTGTCATAGTGGTAGATTAAACATGCATTAGAAATTATAATAAGCAATTTAACAAATACAATAGATTTGAAAAATATAAAAAATTTCAAAATTATATTCTAAGATAAATCACTACCGTTTCCTTCCATACATGTTGCAATCGACAGATCTACTAATCAACGGTTTTACCTCCAATAATGATGATGAGATTTGTCGAACTAAATTCAAGAGCCAAGAAAATTTCAGATCTAACGATCAGATTTGAAATAAATTCATATTTAACAACATAATAAGAAAAAAAATACAAAAATCTCCATAGGATCCCTAGGAGAAAGAAATTTCTCACTAAAAACTCCTAGAAAAATAGAAACTCTCATTACAAAATTTTGAAGAGACTTTATTAGAAAAACAGACTAAATCGGGATTATGGAGGGAGACCATGGTGTGATCTTCCTGCCTTAGAGGAAGGTTTATGAGAGGATGACTACAGGAGGATAAAAGTTGGAGAAGAGGAGAGGTGGGGAGAAGGTTTGAATGGAATATGGTTTTTAAAAAAAAAAATCAAATATGTGATGAATGCAAATTAATGCATTACCTTCCTAGTTCTCTAACCTTAATGGAATTTAGAAATTCTAAATCCCTTTTAGCCTTGTTTGGATTCCATTTTTGTGGAAAAAGTTTTTTGATTTTCATGAAAATATTTCTTATCAAATATTTTAATCACTTTTTTACCTTACATATATATCTTTAAAAAGTATTACAATAAATTTTTCTACAAAAGCTCTAAAAAAATTACAATTCAAACCAAAAATAAGCTTGTCGATGGCAAATGATAGCTTCTTGAAGAAATAGATTTCTTATCCTAATTCTTGTATATATGTTTAGATACAAAACTTGGGACATAAACCTACTTCAAAATTTGCACATAGAGGTGGATTTCCTATAAATATTGATGTTTTTGACTTTAATGCATCATCATAATCATCATCATTATTATTAGTATAAAAAATGATTCCAAACCTTATAAAGGAAAAAAGAAAAGGAGAGACTTGATAGTTTAATCAAGACCTCACAGTTATGTCGCTAATATCCTACTAGTTAAATTGAGCTTGAGAAGGCGTCACTATTCACTTACTTATATCAACCTACTCATGGACCATGCTACTGATGTTATCTTAGTTTTAGGCACTATTCACGGTACCAATGAGTGGTTCTCGTGTTTTCAATTCGTCAATTTTTTTGACTCTTGCAGCATGAATAATTATTGGTCTTTCTTGAGGTTGTCATGATTGAGAGAATCTTACCGAAACTGGATGTTGCTGCGGTATGTTTAGATGTCAAAACAGAGGTGTGGAAAGTTAAGTGAAAAGACATTCAAGCATTTGTGGCCACAAACGGTAGTCGAAGCGTGTTGGCTGGGCACGTGGAAAGGGCTTTTGTGACATGCAACCGGAAGAGCTATTAGGCGTTGAAGGGGACTCCAACCGCGCATGTGAAATGTGGAGGGGTCGAAATTAAGCAACTGGCAAAGTGAGGGTTTGTACGGGAAAGTACCGCAGGGAAAGAAGGCGTGAAGCTTACTGGATAAGCTACACAGTGTATGCGTATTAGAAAGGAAGAAGCGCCAAAACCGGAGCAGGAGGAATAGCAGAAGATAAGGATTTGTCATGGAGCTGGCGGCCGAAATAGATGCTTCGGATATGCAGTGGGATAGTGAAGGAGAAAGCGAAAATGTAGTATCGCTGATGCATGAGAGTGGAACACCTTCGAATTATAAAAGTTGCAGCAGTGAAAGGAAGGCCATTCGTCGGACGGCGGAAACAATGGTAAGGCACTCAACTCATTCCGTGAAGAATATGGTGGATTGGCTCTCGGATGAGCAGCAGCAGGCTGTCAGAGACTTTGGATTCGGGTCAATTTTGAATGTGAAGGGAGTAGAGGTTGACGGAGAGATGTTGAACTGGCTGGTGGATAACTTTGATGTAGATCGGAGGACACTGAACGTTCATGGGTACTGTCTACAGGTCACAGCCGAGGATGTGGAAAGTGTACTTGGCTTGAGCAGCCGTGGGAAAGATATTGAAACCGAAAAGCGAAGGCAAGAGATGGATACAGAGGTGGAAAGAGAATTGAATATCAGAATAACTAGCGGTGAAATTGTAGTGGAGGAATTGAGGCACAGTATATGTAGTTTGCCTAACGAAGGCTTAGAATTCAAAGTGAAGTTCGTACTGTTTGTTGTTGGTAGGTTGTTAGCACCAAGTTTGGATGACACAGTGAGCCGGGATCTGGTGGCTGTAGTGGCTACAGAGGAGAATATGGAAAATTTAAACTGGTCGAAATTCATACTAGACAATTTGGTGAAGAGCATCCGTGATAGAGACGGCAACGGAATAGCGGGATGTGGACTTTTGTTGATGGTATAAGAAAGACGCACCATTTTGTATTAGAGATAGGAATTGCTGGAATAATGAAATTAAACTTTGATATAAAGGACCTGTAAATGATGGTAGGCGTGTTTGTCCGTGCAGATTTACTATCTGGAACGATTCTATATCGAGGGTGAGGACGAGTTTCGCAAGTTCCAGCCAAGAGGGCCGAGGCTAAGATTTTGGGGAAGGTACGAGATTAATGAAAGCATGCGAATATTGAAGAGGAATCACATATTTGAGGGGGAACAGGTAATGTAAAATCCTTTCGTGTGAATTGTTGTTGAAATTGCAATCTGCATTTTGTGACGTTACTAGTGGTACAAAACTGAAGGCTTGTAGTGACAGGGCAATGTGCAGTTTTACAATAACATAAGCTGTAGAGAAGACATTGATAGAAGACTGATTGAAATTGAATGTGGTAATAAAGATGTGAAGGATAGTATTGGTAGAATGGAAGCAATGATTGAATGTCATTTTGAAAGGCTGAGGAGCATGTATGAAAGTGGAAGGGTGTGCAAAACAAACCGGGCACTTGGTGTGGAGGGTGGGCAGAAGGACGATTGGCGTGGTAATGTTAAAAGAGGGAGTGAGTTACATAAAATTAGTCCTACAACGCCAGAAGTTAGGTCCAAAAGAAGGAGTGAAAATGATAGAGTAAGTACGACTAGTACTGTAATGGGTGAAAAGAGTGCATCGAAAATTTCAAAGTGGAGGAGTAGAAAGAGACTAAGGATGGACAATATGGAGAAGCCTGTGTGGGAAGACAAACAAAACAGAAGGCATGGTAAAAGAATAAAGGTATGCATCGGTTTGTGGCAAGGTATTTCGTAGCATTAGAAAAGTAAAGTATAAATTGTAGTTTTATGTATAGATGGATAGCAGTGGGATGAACGAGCGTCAAACGAAGATGGTTGCTTTATTGGCAAAGGTGAGTATTCCAACGTTCCAGAATTACTAAAGTATGGGAAAATATAGACAATGAATATGACATATTTTTGTGGTAGCAGGAAACGAGGCTGGCATCTATCGGCGAAAAATTGAGTGAGGGACGAGCAAAAATACTGAAGTTCTTGTTTGACACTCAGCTGTCGCAAGGGTATGTACTGGATCATGGATTTGTTAAATCAACAGTTCTATTTTGTTTTATCCTTTATTTGAAATTGCAATGGCAAAGGGGACAGAAAAGTATTTGCAATTATAAGGTTGATTAAATATGTAGTATGATTATCCCCATAGGGGAGAGGGCATAGCAACGAAAATCTTGGAAGCAGTTAAAATTGGTTTACAAGTGAGCATAAAACTAACAATTTGTGTGCTGTCAATCATGCCTGCTTATATAAAAAGCAAGGGTAGGTAACATGCTTGCATATAGAATAAAAGGTGAGTATTCCAGAAGTTTGAGAATGGAACTACAATGATAACTCAATGACCCTTATGGTGAGTACATAACCGCCTTAGGCTAACTCAATGACCCTAAGTACTGATTGAGTCATTGAAACCGTGATTGCTGGTTGTACTAGTAAGGAAGAGTGAACCTGCTCTGGCCGTTATAACTCTCATCATTGAAAATGATGATATCAAGTTTGTAGATTATGAAACCGTAATACACATAGGGAAAAGATTAATGTACCCTGTTGTAATGACAGGGAAGTACTGGTGTCAATTAAGGGGCAGACAGCAAGTCGGGATGCAATGGGGTCCTTGCTTCCTGAAAAACCCATGGCATGCGATGTGAGTAAATCGAGGAATTGAAATTGGGTGGTGTTATGTGGACTGTTTCATGGAGGAGGAAGTGATGTGACTTGAGTTTGGTGCAGATAATAAATTGCTATTGTGCGATGAAAACAGCAAGGCAGCAAAGGCGTGCTGTAGATCAGTCAATTCGATGGTGGTTCATGCCAACTT